CCAATTGGTTCGGCAACCGCCTGCGGGGCAAGAAGCACAACCCCTACGCGTTCTGTGGCGGCATCAAGGCGCGGGTCAAACGCCTCGTCACGCACGTCAGCGAGTTTGAGCAACAACTCGTGACCGACGCCCGCCAGTCGGATTGTGACGGGATCATCTGTGGCCACATCCACGTTCCCAGGATCGACTCGTTCGAGGACGTGACCTACCTGAACACGGGCGACTGGGTCGAGAACTGCTCGGCCCTCATCGAGAATGCTGACGGTTCGTTCGAGCTGGTGCGATGCGACGGTCAGGTGATCGACCGGCTGCCAGCCCGTCCGACCCCGTCGCTGCCGCAGCGTCCGATGGCCGGCGCTTGCTGAGTCCCCAGCACCGATCCAACTTGCGGGTTCTGCACGCTCGGCCGGCGCAAATCCCCCGAACTATGCGGCCTTCCGCAGGCCAGCATCTTTCCAATCCGGGCTAACTCGCGTACGTTGATGACTTCGCGCCGGGCCAGGCATTGCCCCGCGCCGTCACGGCGTCATTGAGGACCCCCGATGCTGGCCACCCACATTAGCCGAGCTTTCTTCAAGCTCTGCCACGGGAATCAACTGGTCTACAACACTTGCTGGGAAGACCCGCGGCTCGACCGCGTCGCCCTGCAGCTTGGCGAAGGCGACCGACTGATTGTTATCACCTCCGCGGGCTGCAACGCGCTGGACTACGCGCTCGACGGCCCGGCGCGGATCGACACGGTCGACGTCAACCCGCGTCAGAACGCGCTGCTTGACCTCAAGCTCGCCGGCATCCGCACGCTTAGCTACGAGCAGTTCTTCGACCTCTTCGGTCGTGGCAAGACCGATAACTGGGAGGCCGTCTATACCGACGCCATCCGCGCCGAGCTCCCCGAGGCGAGCCGCCAGTTCTGGGACAAGCACGGCAAGTTCTTCCTCGGACAAGGCCGGCGCCCGAGCTTCTACTTCCGCGGCACCGCGGGCATGTTCGCCTCGTGGATCAACTGGTACATCAACCGCTACGCCAAGGTCCGCGACGACATCGAAGCCCTGTTGGCCGCCGACACGGTCGAACAGCAAAGAGAGATCTACGAGAGCCGCGTGAAGCCCGCCTTCTGGGGCCCGTACATCAAGTGGTTCATGCGGCGTGACGCGGCGCTGTCGCTGTTGGGAGTGCCCCGCGCGCAGCGGAAGCAGCTCGAGCGCTACTACCCCGGCGGCATCGCCAAGTTTGTCGAAGACAGCCTCGACACGGTGTTCAGCGAGCTGCCGCTCAAGGACAACTACTTCTGGCGCGTCTACCTGACGGGCGAGTACACCAAGGAGTGCTGCCCCGAGTACCTGAAGGAAGAGAACTTCGCTCGCCTGAAGGGGACGAACGGCCAGCCCGGCCTTGCCGAGCGCGTCCACACGCACACGACAACGATCCTCGACCACCTCAAGGGTGCCGACTGCAACTACTCGCACTTCGTGCTGCTCGACCACATGGACTGGATGGCCGAGCACATGCGCGACGTGCTCGGTCTCCAGTGGCAAGAGATCATCGACCGATCGGACGACGATGCGAAGTACCTGTGGCGTAGCGCCGCGGTGATTTGCGAGTTCGTCGATCCGATCACCGTCAATGTCGGCGGCAAGACGCGGCACCTCGGCGACATCCTCGAATACAACCGTGAGCTC